TCCTTCCCTGCCTCCCCTTCCCTCGCCCTCTCTGCCTGTCACAACAGTTTCCCGCTGTCCTGGCTGTAAGGCTGCTGCGTTTGTGGACACAACCGAGGCTGACAGCGCGCTGTCAAGGGCATTAATAAATCTGCCACTCACACCGGTGATGAAACAGACAGCCGCCATATTGTTTACAAGGCATTTCCTGATTTGTGACAGAGAAATCAGACATTCTGGGCACTCTGTGTAGCAACCAGATATTGCCGGTTTTATTATCCTCGTTATTTGTAGTAGCTGTTTTACAGCTGTAAAGATTACAGTAGAACTCCGTGGAGTAATTCTGCAGACTCCTAACTGCCACCATTCACTTGCTTTAATTAACATGAGGCAGCCTGGAGTTAGTGATAGCTGAGGTCAGTGAATCCAATGGTGAGAGTTTAGTCCTATTCACCACTCTCCGTGTTCGTCACCCACTTTACATCCTGGGACTCTCTGTGTTGGCCAACCAATTTCGATCCCTGGATACTCTGTGTTGGCAAACCATTGCCATCCCAGGACTCTTTGTATTGGCCAACCCTTGCCATCTCTGTCCTTTCAGAACCAGCACCTACTCTTGCCAAACATGCCAGGTTCTCCTGATTGGGGGAGATTAGTGTGGCTGTCCCCACTTCTGCCCTGATCTCAGAAACCAGAAATAAATCAATAAATAAACTTTTAAAGTGTATACATATGAAAACTGGGTTCTTTGAAGGATCAAAAAGCAAGCGCCTGTAGAGATTAGCGGCTGCAAGCAAATATAGCAATATTATTATTCTGTCATGAGCAACACTATGCCAAATGGACATCATATAATCTTGGGAGACTTAATAATAATACAAACTCTATATGCACGTCTGCTGCTGATCAGAGGGGCAGGATTGTAAAGACTGGATTAACTTCTGCCTGCCACACCAAAGCAGACAAGTCTGTTTACAGAGGCATGAATAACTACACTCACAAATCCGTGGATCGGCAGAAGCCAGACCTCTTACAGGAGAACACAGATGTGCGTGCTCTGTGCTTCATGTGCTGCTTTTAGGACATGATAATGAATGGCCTGGCCACTTCATAAAAGAAAAGAAAAGAAGTTTGTATTTGTTGCTCGTATGAAAACGTGCGGAAGAAGAAAGAGAGAGGATGTCATCCTGCTCCCTGAAGGCAGAAACTCTGTCTCACCCCAGATCTCACACAAATCCAGTGAGCTAATTAATTCATGGAGCTGAGCCACTGAACCAATGAATTTATTTATTCTTAAAAGAGTTTAGATTTCTTCATGCTTTTGTCGGCTTTCTAACAGTACCGGACTAAAAGCAGGACTTGGTAGACACCAGGCGGATAATAATAAATGTAGATTGAACAGATCGAATAGATCAATTAAACACGGAACATTACAAGGAGAATGAACTCAAGCATTAAAAATCCACAAAGCCTCTAACAAGCCCAGCCCAGAGGACTTCCCGGAATCAACACGGAAACACAACCAGAGGACGCGAGTGGAAACTACACGGATGTGCATTTCAAAATTGTGAAAGGAGCACTTCTTTACCCAAAGGGAGGTGGGAGTCTGGAACAAGCTACCCAACACTGTTGTTGAAGCCGATACCCTAGTTTCTTTCAGGAAACAGCTGGCTCAGATCCTGGGATCAACTAGCTACTGACAACCAAACATGCTAGACAGCCTGACTGGCTCCTCTCATATAGTACTTTTCTCATCTTCTTATTCAATGCTCTTCCCAAGGTAAGAGCTAGAAAGCCCCCCCCCCTGGCCAGTTTGACTACAGACAGGGAATGTTCACTGGCTCACTGTATGCTGTGTTACGTGCGCAGAATAACCACTGGTCTGACGTCAGAGAGGAGATACAGCCTTGCCCCTACCCCAGGTGCGCTGGCCTTTTCACTGATTTATATTTAGATGGAGAGAAGTATCCTCTGCTCGTGTTGTAGAATATTGTGTGCCCCAAACCCAAGCAATGTGTTTTAAATATTGCAGGAACACATGAGCACTGCGCACAGGGCTATACATAATTTAAGCATGGGAAGATGCAGGAACTCTTGCTGTCCAAAACAGAGGAAGAGGGAGGGTGAAGTCCAGGCTGCCTCAGCCCTGCGCCCCCATGCACTTAACTTCCTGTCCAATTCCCTTCTCCTCTATTGCCTGGTTAAAATGAACAGTTTTCTGTTCTTACCCAGAAAAGCTCCTTTTGATGAAGAAAGAAAATGACCAAAGCCAAGAGAGCAGTCCTAATCTATCTGCACACGTTGTAGTCTTACCTTATAAAACAACACGAACAGCCTGGATGAGCAGATAGTGTGCATTAGGTTACTCAGCCATGACATGTGACACAACTCCAAGCCTGATAAGCAGGAGACTTCAGTGGCTTGGCCCGTGTGCATTGTGTAGAGGCAGACATGGGAAGTCACACAGAAAAATTACATTTATTGCAAAGATGTGCAAAGATGGTGAAGCAAAGAATTAGAAATGTTAATAAAGGCATATTTTAAAATGCAGCACCGATGTCCCAGTAAAAACAGAGGAGAACTCTGCTGGCTGGCTTCAAATAGTTGCAATGCATTTGCACTCATCACTGCCTGCAACAAAGAAAGCAAAGCTCACAGGAGAGGCTTTGTTAATGAGAAGATATTGTGTGGTGCAGATTAATATTACTCTCAGACAGTATGTTCAAAGTCTGCCTTCTCCCTTGTTCACTCCACTGGGACCTAATTTTCTTTTCCTAGGTTGCAGTCACTGTGGTCAGCGTGGAGCCTGTGTGTTGTGTGTTTATAGCACTTCCACCTGCTTCTGTAGAGATCCTGCAATGAGCCCACCCAAGTCGAGCTACCTTCCCATTGCACAGGACAGGCCAGAGTCTTTACAGAGCAATTGCAGGTACTTTGGAGTCTCCTAGTAAGGTTTTGTAAGTAAGTATGGGTTTTGATAGAGCTGATATATTAGAATGTGATGTGTACAATATATCACACCTGAGTCAAGGTGTCATGTGGCAGGTGTTTAGGGCTGATGATCATATCTCTAGAGTCCTGAGTTCATTTCTGGTCACATGTGCCACAGTCTGTGTGCAATTTGCATGTTGCATGCTGTAATGTACAGATTTGTATGTTCTAGTGCTCTGTCTTTTCTTGATTCATAAAGAAAAGAGCTCCATGCCTCAACCCATTCATCTGCTGTACTAAAACCATCCTGGATAGTCAGGAGGTGGTTCTGATGACAGAAGATGACCAGTCACTATTCCTACCATAAACTCTGAATTTGTAACTCTACTAGATTATTAACATTACAATATGTACAGGAGCTGATATTTTTTGTTATATTACCATATTTCTCTGTATGTTTTATAGATAGCTGTTTTTATAGAAAAGGTTGTTTGAGCAGTGTTGTCCAGTCCTGGGGGTCCTGGAGGTATGGTCAGTGTGTCTGCAGCAGGGCTGTCCAGTCCTGAGGGCCCTGAAGGTATGGTCAGTGTGTCTGCAGCAGAACTGTCCAGTCCTGGTCCTGGAGGGGTCAGTCACTGTCTACAGGACAGGGTGTTGTGCACTGTGAACATGTGTAAAAGCCCAGCTGCCAGTTCTCCAGCTCCAAATTGAGCTTCAATACTTCAGAGGACTAACAAGCAAAGGCAACTCAATACGTGCTATTTCAATGAAAATCTAGAGTGCTTAATTCAAGCAGTTCTGCACACTCTTGTGAAGCCCTGAGGCCAGTCCATCTCGCTTATTCATTTCCTCTGGAGGCTCGCACACAAGAGCGGGCAGTTGGACCCTCTTTGTTGGTTTTACATCGCCACCTTGTGTCTAGAAGTGGTAACAACAAGAAATTAATGCCAAGAAAGAATCACATTTCGGGTGATTCTAGAGCAGATGTGTCCAATTTTGGTTCTGGAAGGCAGGTGTATCTGCAGGTTTCCTAGGTCTCCTGAAAAGCACCAGAATCTGCGAATCCGGGTGACGGTGTAAAATTGGTCCTATTAAGCCAATAATGAGCTGATCTGGGTCATTAAAGCTGTGTTAGACTGAAAACTCACAGATAATAATAATAATAATAATAATAATAATAATAATAATTATTATTATTATTATTATTATTATTATTATTATTATTATTAGTTCAGGTGGGTAGCTGCGTCAGCATGCGTAGGCTGCAAAGGAACAAGTAATAGGTTTATTCCATGCTGAAAAAAAGAAGAAAGAGAACAACGTTTTGGCCGTGGAGCCTTCTTCAGGTGTCATAAGTAATTATAATAATAATTGCTTACACTTATATAGCGCTTTTCTGGACACCACTCAAAGTGCTTTACAGGTAATGGGGATCCCCTCCACCACCACCACCACCAGTGTGAATTATCCACCTGGATGATGCGACGGCAGCCAGAGTGCGCCAGAACGCTCACCACACACCAGCTCTCAGTGGGGAGGAGAGCAGAGTGATGAAGCCAGTTCAGAGAGGGGGGTTATTAGGAGGCCATGATTGATAAAGGTCAATGGGGAATTTGGCCAGGACGCCAAATACACCGAGATACACCGCCCCTCCGGGACCAGACGTCATCTAGATCAGAGCAAATCAACGTGCAGCCCCCCCAGCCCGCAGACATCACAACCTCTCTGAAACCGACTCCTAAATTAGAACATCATTCAGGCCCTGCGGCAGACACACTGACCGGCCCCTCCAGGACCAGGACTGGACACTGCTGGTGTGGACTCACTGACCCATCCCCCAAGATCAGTTCCGGGGACCCCCCAATGCCACACAACTGAGTCTCTGTCCAGTCAGGTGATGCTGTCGGACTCTAACAGACAACATGATCCCAGTACAGCGGACACACAATACCGGCTTGATCTATCACAGACTGCCCTGAGCATTGCATATTCCGTTTGCTCCCCTATCTGTCAAATAAACTGCGATTAAAATTCTTTGAATGGATTTTCTTTATTTCTTATTGGGTCCAAATCTATTAACAGCGGCTTTGCGGACGACATTCCTCTGGACACGTTCAGGCAGCGGGCCTTAAAGACGCCGACGCGCAGACGCAGTAGACACGGTGAATGCCGTACTGAGCATGCGTAGCTGTGGCAATATGGCGACGTCCTGTTAGTGTGCATGTGTTTTTGTGAGATCGAATAAGTTCGCGTTTGGAAGTTACATTTGGTTTTCGTGGTTACTTGTATACACCTAGAGAAGCAGAACCCCGACCGAAATATAAGCGGAGACGAGAAAGATTGTGGCGACGCTGACGCGAGAAATTAGAGAAATCAGGGTTTCGTTTGGACTTCTGTTCCGGAAAGGTAAAACGGTTTGGAGTTTTCTAGAAGTCTTTTATAGTAAAGGTTTTGGTAATAAAATCTTAGAGTGGGACGCTTTGTGTTATTTCGTTTAGGCAGTTGAATTATGAATAAGCGGCGTTTCGTCTTTTATTTTTAGTATTATTATTGATTGATATGATTTTCTGGACAGATATAAATGTACTTTTTCGTGGTCACAACAGGCACTCTTGCTATTGCTGGCGTTTGTACTTTGGTTTTCTGCTTGTGCTGTCTTTTTCTGTTGCGCCATTAGAAACTGCAGCAGAGAACCACTTGTGGGGTCTGTAGAACAGACCACTTCAATACCTCCCTTGACTGAAGTGTTCAGAGCGTGTATTTAACACCCTTTAACTTTCTAGTATTGGAAAACTGTCAAAAAGTGCAAAAAATAATTTGAGCGACTTGTATTGCTAAGGACACCAGTCATTCTAGTTTCTCACTTTTCTCCTCCCTTCCCTCTGGTCAACTTCATAGGAGCATAAAGGCACGAACTTCCAGATTCAGAGACAGTTTGTTTCCCCCACCAGATGTCAGATTAGCGAACTCTACTCCAACCACTGACCAAACTCATCTACATTTCTACTCACACTCGTGTTTTTTTTTCTCTTCTCACAACTGCTTGTCTGACCTGCTTTTTAAAGTGGTATGTTAACTTCTAGTTGCTGTTCTGTGCTTGTTGGGTGATTCCTTAGCGCCTTTGTATCGGAGCATACATGCAAATAAAGATTTCATTGCACTTGTGCGTGTGGCAGACCAGCTGAACGTCTTGTGCTCCGATGTGCTGTTCTCTCGCTGCAGAATGTCGGACCAGGGGGAGGAGTTTGACGGAGAGGGGGAGGTGCCTGAGACGAAGGGGGAGGAGTCTGGAGGAGAGGAGGAGGGGCCGATGAGCGACGACACGGGGCCAGCCGGGGGCGAAGCTGGGCAAGGCCTCGCAGGGCCGGGGGCGACGGGGGGCGAGCGCTCGGCAGCGGGCACCAAGCCCTCGGGGAGGAGGGCGGTCCCGGGGGTCCTGTACCTGGGCCACATCCCGCCCCGGCTCAGACCCAGGCACGTGCGCAACATGCTGTCCGTGTACGGAGAGATCGGGAGGATCTTCCTGCAGCCCGAGGGTGAGGACCGCCACCCCGCTGTGGCCCCCGAGCTCACGCAGGAAGCTGTAGCCCGAGCTACAGTTGGTTGGCACTTTT